CCTAAGCTTTCTGCTGCTAAATCTGTAGCTATTGGTGGTAAATCTGTTTCTCCTTGGATTGATGCTGCCTATTTTACGTATGGTGCTTCTCCAGCTTCGTCAATGAATGGAATTATTTATACTCTTATAGGTAGTCCTAATACCTTTGTTGAGGGTTTCTACAGTGTAGGACTTTCATGGAAAGGACGTAGAGATGGTCAGATCTATACTGTGAAAGATGATGTTTATTCTGCTGCTACTCCTGAAGGATTTGAAGTTTTAGAGGGGTACGATACTGTGAATTAGCTGCCAGACGAGGGGCCACACCACGAGCCGGAGTCCCGGAGGGCGGAGGCGATCTGTGTTAGGGTCCAGCTGCCATGGAGTATTTAACGGTTTTTTCCTGAAGATCTAGGGTCCAGCTGCCATTATTGATTTATAAAAAATGAAAGGCTTGAACATTCATTTTATTATTAACAATAAATTTATTTAACATATGATCATTTTGTATTCGTCTTCTTTTTTCATTAACTGGAAATTCCAATAGCGATCTGCTGACATTTTAGTTTCATCGGGCATAAAGTTAGCCATACATACCACCTTTGGACTTTTGAAATGTTTTGTCTTGCTGTCATACTTGGCGGAGAATAGATATCCATCTTTCAGGTTTTCTAGGATAGCATAATTCACAAACTTCTCATCTTCTTTGGTATAGTTGAAACATACAATACTTTCGCCATTATATGCATAGCTGATGTCTTTTGAATTTCCATTCTGAAATATTGCTGCTCCCTCTACTGCATTTAAATGTTTGCATAGGTATGTCTTTCCTGCTCCTCCATCCTTGTCGAATATCCATACAATTTCTCTATCTTCTGTCTCCTTTAGTATCCTTATACAAGCCCTCTGCCATCTTCTTAATTTCTCTTCTTTATACATTTCCTTCACGTCATCTTCTACATTCTGCTTCGCATATTCTTCATATATCTCCATGAATGATTTCTTCTGGTGTGGGGGTAGATTGCAGTAAGGGTCACTGTTAGCTGGTAGATTCTTCATCTTATAATATCTTTGAGCAGTTACCCAAGCCTTACATGGAAGGCTTACCAAATCCATGTCAATGTGGTCTAATATTGCCTTATGGTCCTCTTTCGTGATGTATCTAACAGTGTTGTGTATACTTTTTACACTCTGTATGTCGTCGTACTTCGGGAATCCCTGTGAAGTCCATAATTGCTTGAATCTTTGGAAATTCATCTTCTCTGTAGTTTGTATGTAGGCATGGCAATGTCCTGTCCTTCCACTGAGCCCCCATTCATTGCCAGCCACCAGCTTTCCTGCAAACTTCCAATTTAACCATTTCTTCTGTATTCCATACTTTGCAGCTCTTCCAATCGTCACATTGGAAGTACTAAATAATTCAGTGATGAATTTTTATGCACCCGCAGATGTATTGTGAAACACCCGACATGGAAATCAAAAAGGGGCGTCCCTTGACACTGAATACTCCAGCCATGGAAATCGATCATACCAGCTGTTACTAAAATGGCGCCCAGTCTTCGCTGGAAATTTTATTCTCGGTTGCTTTGGAACGTCTTCTTTTCCAATGTCACC